ATGTATATGTATATATATGTATATCAGAAAAACGAACAAACGCAAATCCTGTCCCTGAACCCATCAGCCCCAATACTGAGTACTTAAACGTACCTATAAATCCCAATACTTGGAAAATAAACCTACCTAAGCAACAATATATGAAACACAAACCGTACCTACACACTCTGTTACTTGGAACATAAGCTTACCTCTTGCTTAGTGTATATGAGATGTTCCAGATACAAGGTCAAAACAGTCCTACCGTGCCGAGTGAGGTAATTGACAGTCTGCTCTCGGACCTGTACAAGGGCAACAAGCCCAGAAAATACAGTTCAGGTCAGGTTGAGACCATTTGATACGAATATATAAGCTACACACCACACCGTCAAATGTATAAAAATATTTTGGACAACGAGGACTATGAAACCAGTGTATATGTATATGTGTATGTATATGTGTATGTATATGTATATGTGTATGTGTATGTATATGTATATGTATATGTGTATGTATATGTATATGTGTATGTATTATGTATATGTATATGTGTATGTGTATGCATATGTGTATGTATATGTGTATAATATATGAAAATGTAGGTGTAGGTGCAGGTGTAGGTGTACTTGTACATGTAGTGCACTCAACTAAACTCGTCGCTGTCTCACACTAACAACCATAGACACAACCCGATGTGTTCGTATGCGTGCGTATAGCCTAGCCTGTACCAGCCCATGCCTCTACACCCACACACACCAACCAGTACAACCGATCCAGTGGGGGTGCTCTGCAGTTCGGTACCTTTTGTATGACCACATTGGAGGGTGTGCGTGTGGCTTGCGCGTCGTCTTCGGCAGCAAAGTAGTCGTCCGATGATTTGGGTTTGACCTCCTCACTCCGCCCTTCTATGAAGATCTGCACCGGAACAAGTGGGACCAGAAGTAGGTGCATGAATGCCAAAAGTAAAGCCAATTAGGAATGTATCTAATCAATATATATATATGCCAAAAGTAAAGCGAATTAGGAATGTATCTAATCAATCTATATATATGCCAAAACTTAAACAAATTAGCATCTCATAACTAATGAATCCACTTTCATCGGAGGAGGGGGTGTATTTGCACATTATAAAACTCATAACTGCGGGTGTATATAGCCAGACAAGCATCGGCAAGCGCCAGCTCCAGGGTTTTAGGGTTTTAGGGTTTAGAGTCAGTATAATATTAGACCTAGTTAAATTGTACTACTCACCCCCTGACAGTCGAGTCGGTGCAACCAACTGTCATACACAGAGGCCATACAATAGACATGAACGCTCATGAAATCACACAAACCACGTGCACATGCTACTTCCAGTAGACGTGTGTATGTGTGTGTCATTCTGCAGTGTCATTCTGCAGTGTTATTCTGCAGTGTTATTCTGCAGTGTCATTCTGCAGTGTCATTCTGCAGTGTCATTCTGCAGTGTCATTCTGCAGTGTCATTCTGCAGTGTCAT